AGATTGTGAATGTATATGGAGGAGGCCTGAGACGGTGACGAGCGGAGGATGCGCGGCAGCGGGCTTGTGAAGGGACGGCGGCACAGCGGACGAACGGTGGCCTGAGATGGCGGAGGCGAGGCTGACTAACGGCGGGTGCACAACAAGGGGCTTGTGAAAGTACACGGCGACACGGTGGCACGGCGAGCCTGCGATGGCGGATGTGCGGCGGAAGAACGGCAGCTGCGCGGTGGGTGATTCGGGATACACGGTGGTGGTCTCTGCAAGTGCGGGCCTCGATGGCGGATGTCCGGCTAACGAACGGCGGCTGCGCGATAGTGGTGGTCTCTGCAAGTGTATGTGTGTGTGGTCTATCATCTGTGTGTGTGCAAGGAAGAGAAGGGGGATTTTAGTGTGAATTGTGGTGGGACCTACTAAGAGAGATATTTTTGTAATGACAAAATTATCCTTAATTAGTGGTAAATGGTATATATTTGACTCTATATATTAACTTATTTACAAAATTGCCATCATGTATTTGACCATTTTTATTAGATTTTGACTTCATCATAGTCATTGATATCATGGATCCTATGGTATAAATTCATTCTTATTTCTTTCACTAAATTCCTTTCTCATATGATCCTTTTTCTCTCTCTCTCTCTCTATATATATATATATACATTTTGCTAAAAATTTACTCTTTCTTACCATGTACAATACATACTATATATATTATAAGCATATCCAATTTATGCATATACCCTATTATCAGTATTAGTTATTAATATAATCTGTATACTAAGAATTTTTAACTGTATCATATTTTTTTTAAGCTTTTAAATATAATATTTATGTTTTTCTTTTTATAATATATTAATTAATTAATGTACGAAAGATGTGAAAATGTGAAAATAAATAATTTTAAATAGAAAAAATAAAAAGAATAATTTGTATATAGTCAATTGTCGATGAGTCTCGTGATTTAAAATAACGTGGAATACAATTTTACAATATCAAAGTTCAGCATTTATGTCTATTGTGGAATGTTTTTATAATTTATGTTATCGAATTTAGAATGAAACTTTACTTATATGCATATGAAATGTGATATTATCAAATATTATATATTCCTTATGGAGGTGTTATTAAAGTAAAGTTGAATGACTCATGATTAAGCTCGTGTTTGTTTAGTAAATGTGTTGGCATGTCTTGACACAATAAATAAACCAAAAAAAAAAAAGAATGTGAGCCTAAGCTCGATTAGTTTATTAAGCAACGATTTGTTGCTTGAGTTTTCATGGATCAATTCGAGATATATTCGCAAATTATTTGTTTCAAACGACAATTCTAGTCCTCTCCCAAAAAAAATTCTGTATTCGCCCTGCATGCAGTTGTACGCAGTTGTAGGCATCACCACGCAGGTGTACTAGCCGAGCTTTATCTTCCTGGTTGGGTGTCCAAACGACTTTCGTTTATACCTTAGTGCAGTAGCTCTTGGCATTATCTATATGGCCACAAAGTTTTGTTCCATTCTCTCAGTCCATTTCACCCAAATTTAAGATGAAGTTTGAAATTTAGTAATAGAAAAAGGACATGGGAATATTCTGATTTCTAACAAACTGCTGTTTACGCAGAAAAGAAAGAAGGAAAAAATCAAGTCTAATAGTTGAGTTTCATAAATGTTACTATGCATTATTTGAGAATTCAAAACACAGCACTAGCATCCAATGTTTTCACTTCGGAGATACTTATAGTTAAAATAAGAATATATAGTTGGAATTGTAAAAAACCTCAAATCTCAACTTGGGATCTCTGTCTTTCACAGAAGAGGACTTGAATCTTTTCAACACATGCACTCCTCCTGGCAAAATGAAAAGAAAAGAAGAAACACTTTTTAACAGATTTTAATCAACAATCTAAATATTTATAACAATTAACAGGAGGAGAACAAGAAAGGAGTACAAATCGAAATCAAAGAAGAAAGTAAAAACACTTTTTTTTTTTT